CATGAAGTTATACACTTCTGCCAAGTTTCATGCTTTTAACCAAAAGTCGCACAATCCATGCACATATCCGCCCCACTAGTACAGAAATTTCCCGCAAAAGATTCCTGGAAACTGTTGAATTTCCAAAATGCAAACCATTGAGCTGAAAATTCTAGAAATTTTGGGAGAAAAGTTGAATGGAAAGAAAGCTGCTACCAGAAACGTGTTGCGAATTTCCCTTCAACCTGATTGGCAAATTGACGATATAGTTTTTTAACAGGCCAATCATGGCACATACTCAAATCCTAGTACACAGCTGGAGGCCCAGAACAAGGATTTCTGCGCTGTTTTGCAGACGGACATAACCGGAGTTTAGTTTGTCTGTGGCACATGCTATTTCTGGCAAGGCGTTTGAGTTTGTAACTATATTATGATTTTATTATTATTATGAAAGTATGATTCAGAAGATGACATTGGATTAGATGTGTTATTCTATAAAGAGGAGCGGGATCAGAAGACGGATTTAGATGGAAAATTTGACTTGGATTTGTTGGATAACAGAAAAGAACAAGGTCGGAAATTGGATTCAAATGAGGGAATGAATTTGAATTTGTTGTATAGTGTAGATGGGATGAATTTGAGGTCTGATTCAGAGAAAGATAGTCAGAATGGAGACGATCAAATGGCAAAGGGAGTGTTTTTTTTAAAAGAAGTTGAAGAATGCAGCGAAGAATGTTCTTACAACGAGGAAGCACGTGTCCAAAGCGAAGAGAAACGTGATATTGACCAAGGGAAAGTGCTTAGTGAAGAACAACCGTATTCTGATGTAGAAAACAATGACGGTCAGTTCCTTGGAGTAGCCGGACAAGAACCCGCTCAGATACAACAGCAATAACGTTTCATTGAACACGTGCATGAACATCGAACCGGCAAGTACAAGAAACGAGTAGCACAAAGAAAAGAAAGAACATTGTTATGGGATGGTTGTGTTCAAGGGTTGTCAAGGTATTTGTGAAAAGTAAAGTTCTTTTGTAGTTTTATAAAAGTAGTTTCATTGCAATAGTTTCTCTTTTTTCGCTTGGCAATATTCGTCTCTGACAAATATTGAACTATGAACTAGCCGAAAGCATCTATGGTACAACTGCTGTTTCTGTTTATATGGATTTCTTATAAATCAGAAAACTCATTTATCTTGTAATAATCAATTCTAGATCTTTTTTATTCATCCCTTATAATCCTTTATTACTTTTCATTTCCAGCCGCATCCCTCTCTTGTTTGTATTGCCCAATAACCATCATTACCTTTTCATCCGTGTTACATTGGAACCTCGATTTAACGAAGGGCCAAAGGACTGGAAAAATGTGTTCGCTATATCGAGGTTCTTTTTCACATATCTTACTATTACTGGGGTAAAGAAAATCGTTCGTTATACCGAGGACTTTGTTATATAGAGGTTCGTTATATCGAGGTTCCACTGTAAAATGTCATGTTCGGGCAATCGAGATGGAAACCCTCGGATACAATGCGGGACTGAGCCGGTTCCGAACGACTGCATGCGGCAATCGTAATAGCAATAATCATTCGGTATCGTTCGATGGTCCTCTAAAAATCGAGGCCCCAATCAAGACAATACCGGATTATTGCATAGAAACCAGGTTTTAATTTCAAAAATAAAGCTGAAAGTCGCAAAACCATGACCAATCATGACGTTGCTGATAATGCAAACAGAACCGGCTCAAAGCACGTCAGAGTAAATCATGATTGGTTTCGTTTTATTTTCTTTTTTAATTTTCTCAGCGCCAACTTTCAATTTTCGTTTTTTCATTGCAACTCCTGTTACACTTAAACTCGTATGCACTTAGACTTTGCGGTATTCTAAACAAGAGAGGGATGATTAAACTTAATTTTAACCTATATATATATTTCATAAGTCCTTATAAAACTGGAAAAAATATGATGCAAGGATTATAACAATTTTCTAACAAATTGCGCTGAAATTGTTGAATATAAATGTATGAGAGGGATAATCGCAACTTCTGTACAAAAATTTGAATGTACTGTGAATGATGTAAGAAAGAGATAGTTGCATCTTTTATCTTTTATCATAATATATTATGCGGTATTCGGATCAATGAATGAGAAGGCTTACTGTAACTTTTTATAGACGCAACGAGCCTTCTTATAATTTCTTAAAAGAAAAAGATCAAAATAACTTTGTCTGTGCAAAAATACATTTTTATGTCCCTAATGGTAGTAGGGAAAAAAGAGTATAAGTGATAGTTTGTTTCAGACGCCGGGACTTTATACGAGAGTCTGTGCGTATGCCTGCTGGATCGTCCTGCTGGCTCGAGATATTTCTGTTTGTCTATCGCAACTAAGTTACAGTGCATTTTATGCAGCATTGTTAGTCTAGCTTTCTTTCTGCGAAGTCCTAAAGTTTCCCAATCAAGTTGTTTCAACATTTCAGTGACACTGGCAGACCTTTCGTAACAATTTAGGACATAACGTGCTGCTCGACGTTGCACTCTCTACTCTATCCCTATTTTGTTTGGTATATGGGTACATGGACCCAGTACAGACCTTTGAGGGAAACCAGATTGCACTTGAGCAATGTCTGAAAACTTGCCTTTAACGACAACTTGCTGTTTTCGGTTAGCTAGGAAAGCCTGTACCCAATGCCTTGTTTTGTTCCGTACACCGTAGAAGTCCAGCTTCTTTATCAAGCGTTGGTGGCCAGCCTTGTCAAAAGTTTTCGAAAAGTCCATGATAAAGACATCTGTTTGAACCCAGGCCTGCCTGGCGCCCTGCACTCTAGCACTCTAGCTTCCGTTTTGCAAGGAGAATATTTTCAATTTGTTGAAAAAAAGGTACGAGAAATAACAAAACTCTCGAGAGTTTTCCTTTTAAATGGCACTGCAAAATTATGGTTTTATCTCACAAAGGTAATGCGTTATTTCAAACAAAACGAAAGAATCAATTGAAAAAAGGTACGACCCCGCCAGGACTCGAACCTGGAATCTTCTGATCCGAAGTCAGACGCCTTATCCATTAGGCCACGAGGCCGACATAGTATACCAAGAATTCTACTGCTATTTCACAATCAACTGTGTTACAAATATGCACTGTAATACTGTTATTCTGTGTTTGCATTTAAGTGAAGAACGTGACTCTCGAGATTTTTATTCTTTTCTCTTCCCTTTTTTCTGCACCTTGCAAATATTACCATTGCAAACGGGGTACTTGATTGATGTTTCCCCTGAAGCAACGTGTTTTGGATAGTGTTGGTTAAGGTTGTTAATTGTACAGCATGCAATCTTCATGGCTTTGAAAATGTATGTCGTTATTTCAGTGTCGCCACTAAAACAATATTATTAAAGGAAACAAGTTAATTAACATAAAAACCCAATCAGCTATAACAGGCCCCGTGGCCCAACGGATAAGACATCTGACTACGAATCAGGGGATTCCAGGTTCGAATCCTGGCGGAGTCGTTTTGTCTTTAAACATTTTATTGCTAGAGGTACCAATATATTTTTTTCAAATCCATTATATCCTCGTCCCCCAAACCGTTTGTGACTTGACTCAATACGCGCTGCAGTTTCAACCAGAGTCAATATTACTTTGTAATATTATCTGAGAGGAGACAAGTTAATTAACATTAAAAACCCAATCAGCTATAACAGGCCCCTTGGCCCAACGGATAAGGCATCTGACTACGAATTAGGGGATTCCAGGTTCGAATCCTGGCGGAGTCGTTTTATCTTTAAACATTTTATTGCTAGAGGTACCAATATATTNTTATGGTTTTATCTCACAAAGGTAATGCGTTATTTCAAACAAAACGAAAGAATCAATTGAAAAAAGGTACGACCCCGCCAGGACTCGAACCTGGAATCTTCTGATCCGAAGTCAGACGCCTTATCCATTAGGCCACGAGGCCGACATAGTATACCAAGAATTCTACTGCTATTTCACAATCAACTGTGTTACAAATATGCACTGTAATACTGTTATTCTGTGTTTGCATTTAAGTGAAGAACGTGACTCTCGAGATTTTTATTCTTTTCTCTTCCCTTTTTTCTGCACCTTGCAAATATTACCATTGCAAACGGGGTACTTGATTGATGTTTCCCCTGAAGCAACGTGTTTTGGATAGTGTTGGTTAAGGTTGTTAATTGTACAGCATGCAATCTTCATGGCTTTGAAAATGTATGTCGTTATTTCAGTGTCGCCACTAAAACAATATTATTAAAGGAAACAAGTTAATTAACATAAAAACCCAATCAGCTATAACAGGCCCCGTGGCCCAACGGATAAGACATCTGACTACGAATCAGGGGATTCCAGGTTCGAATCCTGGCGGAGTCGTTTTGTCTTTAAACATTTTATTGCTAGAGGTACCAATATATTTTTTTCAAATCCATTATATCCTCGTCCCCCAAACCGTTTGTGACTTGACTCAATACGCGCTGCAGTTTCAACCAGAGTCAATATTACTTTGTAATATTATCTGAGAGGAGACAAGTTAATTAACATTAAAAACCCAATCAGCTATAACAGGCCCCTTGGCCCAACGGATAAGGCATCTGACTACGAATTAGGGGATTCCAGGTTCGAATCCTGGCGGAGTCGTTTTATCTTTAAACATTTTATTGCTAGAGGTACCAATATATTTTTTTCAAATCCATTATATCCTCGTCCCCCAAACCGTTTGTGACTTGACTCATTACGCGCTGCAGTTTCATTATCTGCCAATCGGAACGCGGTAAAGCAGTCTATTACGTAGTCCAAACGACATGTGATGAATGCATGAACCAGCTGTTCAGTATGCAGTCACTTGATACGTATTTCCTGCTATGACAAGTGCTTTAGAGGTAGTAGACAAAAATTCGCCCAGTTGACTTAGTTTTTTTAAAATCCTTTCTTGTTATGACCCTTTACCGGGGACTCCATTGCCAGTGTAGGTGTTACAAATAGAAGAGCAGTATATCAGTCGCAACAAAGACTCGATGGGCGCGCGAGGAAGGAGATAGTTCCACTTTCTCTACTCCTGCTGCGTGCCCATTGTGTGCCGATCCCGCGCTTGGTCCTCTAAGTTACACCATTGTATGTACTAGGAGCAAAACTGTTGCGTGTTACCATGCCATCCAACAGTACTGGCCTCCACGTTTCACAACATGAACTGAAGAAAACTCTGAAAAAATACTTATACGACAGATGATTTTCAAAAAGCAGTAGCATTCGTCTTGTCCTATCTCAGCCTCGTGGCCGTGGATAAGGCGTCTGACTTCGGATCAGAAGATTCCAGGTTGGAGTCCTGGCGGGGTCGTACTTTTTCAACTTAAATCTTTTGTTTTGTTTGAAATAATATCGCATAACTCTTGTGAGATAAAATAATAATTTGATGATTTCATTGAAATAGAGAACTCTCGCGATTTTTCTTATTTCTTTTCCCTTGATTTTTCTGCTACTTGTAAGTATTATCATTTTAAAAGTACATGGAGTGATGTTACCCTCAAGGCATTTTTTTTGGGATAGTGTTGATCAATGTTAACCCGCGGACATATTCTGCGGAAGTACATGTGCGTTCACAGGCTACTCAATGTTGGTCACCACTGTAATTACATGAAATGCAATCTTAGAAAAGTCAAGTTAATAAACGACTGAAATAATATCGGAGTCAAAGATGAGTTTCTTGGGATTGAAAATCGACTCCATCGTCACAGAAGGCCCCGTGGCCCAACGGATAAGGCATCTGACTACGAATCAGGGGATTCCAGGTTCGAATCCTGGCGGGGTCGAAGTTTTATATTTTTGTCCTGTAATTTAATGAAACCGTCTGCTTTTAAAGTTCTTCTTAAAAAGGGTTATAAATGGTGGTCTTTGACAACGTGATCCTCTGCTTACTAGGTAGATTTCTTTCTTTTTCTTTTTCTTGCCGGACGTCGTGATCGACTCACATTTAACAGTTTCAAAGAGACAGCGACAGAAAGCGAATTACTTCTCACTCATGAGTACAAAGCCCAGACTGATAAGAATAAAACTAAAATTAAATGCTAACTAAAAATTTAATTTTAGTTTAATTGATAACAATTTTATAGACTAAAAATTCGCCCAAGTTGATCGTAATATACCTTATCTCTACACCATGCTCCAAAGATTTTTTAGCCTACTCTGGAGGCATTTCTGAAGGACGCGTTTACCTTGTTCCTCAAATGCTCTTTTCAAGCGCTCTTTTTGCGGTTTATTTGTTTTGACCCTTTCCTTTTTTTTTTAAACGCCTGTCAATCAGATAAGGAAATAATCTGCGTACAAATATAAAATAGCGATTTGGTCTCTTGGTTTTCTTGGAAACATAAGTAAAGGCGACCAACCCTTTGAGTTTTTGCTCGACGACCATTGTCCCACAGTCATTCAACGAGGAAAGAGTGTTGTGATAGACAAGTGAACAACAGTTCAGAAACTGGAATAGAATAGCCCCGTATATAGAGTACTAAAGTGGGACGTCATAAAAAAATTAAATTTGTGAAATTATGGGATTTGTCGGGATCTTCTGTACGAACAACATCCAAGAGGCCTACTTGCAAAAAACTAGTATTGTGGGACAATTGTCTTAGCTCAGTTGTGCTCTGATGACTCCATACATTCCTTCCCAAAAAAATCCCGGCACCCCATCACCCCATCGCACACCCGGTCTATTCAAAAAACAAATAAACACGCAAATAAGATTTCAATTTAATTCTCTGTAAAGATTAGGGAGACCAAACCAATTGACTCCACCAGTCGAAAATCCATAGGACTGGTTGTTTTGCCATCATAATCACAAGATAACGTTATTATCGTAATCTTAAAGCATGATCACTGTCATTATCACCATCATCGTCATCATTATCGTAACCAAGTTGACCAGCACCACCAGCGAGCTTAAGCAACAACAACGGTTCCGGAAACGTCAGTTATCAAGTGTGTTCCCACTACTTTAAACTCTATCGCGCTTATTCCATGTCGTTCAATTCGTAAAATGTTGGCGAATATTTCTGGAGCTGAACTCTAAAGGACTGTATCAAAGTTCAGGAAAAGAAAAAGAGTGTCGTTGTCTTATGTTCACGTCGTCCATAAAACGTTAAATTAGGCAGTTTCACGTCGTGAGTCGTGCAAGGACGGCAAAGAAATGTACAAAAAAAAGCGTGCTGCACGAGCAAAGCTGTTGTTTTGCTTATTAAACCTATTGCCTTTTTGCCGTTCCCGTTGCCGTTGCCGTCGTCGTTGCTTAAGCTCCCTATTATCTTCATGGGCCCTTCTCACCGTAATAAGTGTCACCAACTGGCAGAAATCGGTACTCAGTAGAATGTTTGTTAACATAAAAGCAAATTGATTTAAGAATTTGTCTAAAAAATGAAATTCAATTGTGAGGTGCAATTTTTAACACTACATTATGTGTGGGATACATCTCAATGGATGTGGCACATAGCCTACCTAACGTATCCACAGGTTTAATGAGTAATTGCCGGTGTAATGTTTGCTATATGGTGAATTGCCGAAGTCTTGTTCTCTCCTAGCACCATTAGAAAAGGAAGGTATTTTCGCCCCAGTTATTCCCAGCCCATGATAAGTATGACCACAATCACCACTTCCACTGCCACCGATCATCATAACCGCCCCATCCCATCTCCCTCTGTCGCACCAGAAGCCAATCTTATCCCCGCTTAGAATGGTTCCATTACACTTTGCGTTACCAAAACCTTGCGTTGTCTCGTATTGCCCACCGTAGTGAACCGTACAATTCCCCAGACACCGAAAATTAAACCTCCAAGTCGTGCCATTCCGGAAGTCCCCGTAGCTTGTTATTTTCCTCCTGAATGTCTGACCACCCAGACAGTCACCTGTTGTTTGCAATAGAGCGGTGTGCTGACGGTCATCATTACGCGTGATCTTAAACTCGTTGCCGCTGACTAGCCAAAAGCCTGGTGAAATCATATCAGTGTTACTTGATGGATCAGTTGTTTCTCCAGTGGAAATAATCTTATCATACCACCATTCACCACTGTCCTTCATCCAGTTTATTGCGTCTGCCATGGAGAAACGAGCAAGATGGGTCCAAACTTTTCCAAGTGATTCCATTTGGCAGTATGCCTAATAGAAAAGGAATGTGGCGATTAGAGCGGTTTTCACTTGACTGTCGTAAAACCAAAACCAAAGTAAATACACTAGCCAACCAAAGGGCGTAGTAAAACCAAAACCAAAACCAAAACCAATCCCTTTCGACAGTCAAGTGAAAACCGCTCTAATTAAAAGCCGTTTTAATACTTACTCTCAATTTCTAGGTAGTAATTCCTACTGAACATTACTGACAAAGATTTCTGTTCTAGGGAAAAAGACGACCATTTTCTTTCAAAACATTGCGCAGCTATAAAGTGAATCTGGCCGCCTTCGACCCCTAGGAAAATCCAGAAATCAGGACTGTAAATAACCAACAGACCTGAAAGAGGCCTGCCAAAAAATGCCATGAATGTGAAAATCAAAAATAGTAAAAAAGCATAGAATTATAAACTAATTTTACCTGAAATATAACACCTGTTTGATTTAGCCAGTATGCACCGCTGATCGCCTGTTCGCCTTCGATCGTTTTGATATCAAGGCATGACTCCACTGGCTTCCAATCAAAATAACCTGACATAGCTGCGAAAAAAACAAAAGCAATTTTGGTCTTTATTATTACGAGTTTTGCTTCGAATCTGTCATTTTTTTTTGATGGGATAGTAAAACAAAATATTTAGGGCAAGACTTCCCGTGAGCAATATTTGAAGTAAACGCCCTCCCCGCATGGTCGCCCCCTGTTTTTAGTAGACGAAACTCAGTTGCATACATGTGGGAGTAGAATTTCTGTCCCCTTATGCAAACAGTTTTGAGAGGAGGCATGCGCATTACGATAGAACGTTAAACACTTGCCATTATATTAGTACAATATTCCTCCTTGGGTAATTTTTATTCATGACATTACAAAAAGGTATGGGGAATCAATCTGACCTGGGGCAAGCCCAAGACAGACTGAATTGAATATAGGCAATCTGGAACCCGACTTACTTGCTGGGGAGGTCGGGTGGGTCGCCAATCGTCCTTCGTGTCGGACAAAGTGAAGTGAATGGGACAAAGCGTGCCGGTGTTTCCTATTATATATACTCATTTGCATATCATTAGTTTATCCCCAGGGATAATATTTGCATTCAAATGAAACGTGAATAGTTATTAGGGTTAAGCAACAATACTGTGTCCAAGGGGTTTAGGCCGATGGCATCTAATGCTAACCCGTCTACTATTAACGTTCAATTTGAATTGCAAAAATTATTCCTGGGGATTAATTAGTGACAAGAAAATGACACTTTCACTTACCGTAGCTTTTCGAGTGTTCTCCCAACATCCCAAGTGGGTTATCACGCCGGTAAACTCATAGAAAGTGTGGTCTATTGCTTTTATAAAATAACTTTAAGTTTTCTATGAGTTTACCGGCACAATAAGCCATACATTTTAACCAATCAGAGCGCGCGTACTATGTTAGTTGTCTTATAAATAATAGGAAACACCGGCAAGCTTTGTCTACTATAGTCAGTGCTTGAAACCTAAGCGATAAGGAATACTACGTTGTGTAAAATTCATAAGGTGTCTATGGGGTTTAGGCCGATGGGATCAAGTAGACGCAGTGTGTCACATCCCTCAGCAAAGAGGCACTGTCTTCAATAAACCTACCCGACACCCCACAAGTCTGGTCATTGGCCACAACGAAATGAATAACTTTAAGAAGACGGCCGATGATCGCGCGGGAGGCAATTTTGTAGTCGACATTGAGCAGAGTAATGGGCTTCCAATTGCACGGAAAACGGATTGAAACCTCCCAACACGTAATCCAAAAAATGCGCCCTTGAAGGATTCCGACACACCGGCCAAAGAAAAGGAGCAGTGGACGAAATGACCCTCATCGTCACAGAAATGGCGCAACCGCAAGACCGGTTAATGCCAGTGGAAACCTTCACCCTATAACCAGAAGACTGAAACCAGCCTGAGGCCTCGCTGTCCCACATACATTGGACCTCCTGCAGAGAGATAATATCCGGAGGAGAAGGAAGAGAGCGAGTCCACTGCGGCAACACTGCCCGTTTTTCCCCACCAGGAGCGTAGCGTGACCATTTTGACAAGTTCCCACACGGGTCCATATGGTTTTTAAAACTTCGTACAAAATGATGATTTTGCTTTTCCTTTTATACATAATTGGCAGTTTACTGATATCCCAATAGAACGCGATATCAAAAAAAAAGCTTTAAAACGTTCTCCTTTGAGCTGGTACTGAAATGTTTACCAGTATAAGGCGAGGCGCCTTCTTTCTGCGGAAATTTGGAGTTTAAAAGCATCGGTTGGAAGAATTGCGGCATGTGCATGTTAGTGTAAATTTTCCGAACGTTTAGTCCTTTGCTGACTCTTTGAGTTTTTCCCTTATTTCGAACATGAGCAATTGAAAAGAGCAAACAATTGAGAGTCAGCATTTATTTATTTTCAGTTGATTGTTCTGAATATCTCTATAGTTTGTCATTGACAATTGTCTCCAGTTGTTGATACCTCGCCAAACGTGCACCTAATACCGTAAAGTTCCCATAGTAGCGACCCTCGTTACTTTCGGAATTAGCAGCCTTTGGGGCTCGTTACTTTCGGGATGTCGTTACTCTCGGTGGGTCGTTGATTTCGGGGACCAAAAACCAACATCAACATCTATGGTCTACCGGACTACCGAATGGGTGAATCAGCAGATGTAGAGGAAATCGAATTCTTCTCTGACTCAGGGGAGGAAGCATAACTCAGTGCTTTTAGTCCATGACAAACAAATGTGTTTTATAGTGCAGTATACATAACTCAGTTTTAACTTGAAGAAACGGTCCTGTTTTTGATATGAACTTTATATCACTGTCATGGGAAACGACCAATCATTGTGGGCGTAGCATTTACATCATTATATAACGTTACATATATGCTGCAAAACAAAACTCTATGTTAATAAAAGTTTTGTCTTGTCACAGTTTAACGCTTCATTATTCATTTTTTCGCCTACCAGCATGATTCAATGTGACATGCAGCTAAATAAAAAATATTTATTTCTATGTGAACAAAACAGTCAAAACAAAGCGCGATCTACAAGCGTGAATATTGTATTCAGTTGAGTGCGGAGTGAATGTTGAAGATAGTGGAGTGTGGGTGGCTTGTGTAGACTCAGGGGCTGATGGGACAATTGCCAGACTCTCGAAGGCAGGTGAAGGTTGACAATACATGCTCAACCCCTACACGTTAGCAACTTTGTAAAAGAAGAACGTCTTTGGTACGTGTTTTAAGATGTTCGAATGCGCATGACTACTATCTAATCTTGCTCCCACAAGTTCACACTAATAAAATGCAGGTACATATCAATCTATCGTTATGCACACGCCTACTCTCGTAAATTTTGGCATAAGTAGACATAAATTCCACTCCCACATTTATGCGACTTGACTCTCGCCTACTAATGTAACGCAAGTGTTTAACGTTTTATCTTAATGAGCATGCGTGCTCTTGTAAATGTTCGCATAAAGAGGGCAAGTAGTAGGGCTGCAGCAAACTTAACCCCGTTGGTGTCTAGCAAGGTCTAGCTAGGTCTAGTCTATGACGTCACCCATTGTTATAACCGGGGGAAAAGTGCCTTCCTCCATATATAATGAAGTGGATAGGTTTACTAATGAGCGTCACTCTACTACAATAGGAATAATAGGCTTGCCTAGACTTGCCCGTGAAGTAACTTGAGCCCTGTTTTCGGACCGTCTATTAAAAGTAAAATAGAAATAAGAGAAGCGATCACCTAGCAACGCTAGAAACGGCTTCCTATAACTTATTTAGCGCTAAAACTCAGATATAGAAACAAAACACATACAGAAAGTAAGTTGAAAAGTCTTTATTTCAATAAAGTTTACGTCTTCTTATTTAACACTAAAACTCGGATATATCAACAAAACATACACAAAGTGGGGCTGAAAACGCTTTATTTCAATTTTGTCTGACGTTTTCTCCGTTTTATCTCGAGGAAATGAAATACTATTGAAGTCTCAGCGTTTCGAGCACCGTTAGGTAATTATGCGAGTTCACAAGCCCAAAGTTGAATACAAATTAGCTCTACAGGAAAAACCTCAAGGGAGCATCTTGACGTATTATTATAAAACAAGTAACTTAACAAGGATCAACTAAAACACGCGACTCATAATTGCTAGCAATAAGAACACCAGAGAGATACCGTTTTCAAAAACTTTATTAAAAAACAATGACAAAAAGAGTCAAATACACAGGAATGGAAATATATTAATTCCTTCTTCTTCGCCCATGGAGATGGAGTACTTGTAAGGTTTGAATTTCTTATGCCGACGTTTCTTCAGCTGTTTGCCATGAGATTTATGATCATTTAAATAATTTAGAAATTGAATCCGACGCCTTTATCGCTTCGGGCCTTGTGGTGATGGGGTTTCTACTGTGGGAGGAGGGGTCAGAAACGCAGGATTTAAGGGTGGTGGAGGGATGAGGCTTTCTTTGTCAGGTTTTTGAGAGGTAGCCGCTTGTGTTAATTCAGATGTTACATTAAAGGGGTTGAGGGGAGTGGAGAATGCTGTCGTTGCTGTCGAAGAATCTTGTGTCCTTGATGTTAAGTCTGGAACAGTGCTGATTATTTCTTCCGGTCGTGTTCTTGTATTTAATTGTTCTTTAAAAGCCAGGTATCTGTTTTGCAACTGAAGGTATTGTTTAGCTTTTTCATCATCCCGAAGATCGTTTCGAGAAAGCACGTCATCCATGTTGCCTTGTATTTCTTGCATAGCTGGAAGAAGCGGGACAGGCGAAAGAGTTTGCTGCTTCAGATATTTTAGAAGCTCTTGATGAATATTTTCTTGAAACCCTGATTTTTTTTTATTCAAGACATTTATTACTATAATTACAAAGAACTACTTAAAAAGAAACTAATTACAATGTTCTAAACAACCGCAATAACAGACATACTTACAATTATCTACATTTCACAATTATATACATTACAGCCACAAAACAGCCGCGCAATTGCCGAATGAGGCTTCTTTTACAAAGAATTAATTAATACTTAATTATGTAGATAAAAGAGAGATTAACACTTAATATTTACAGTACGCTCTGAAATAAAACAAAAACACAAACACACATACAAAAAAAAATACAAAAAAAAGTGTCTAATAAAAGATTACAGTTTTAATTACATACTCACGAACTTAATTAAAGGGGAGAAATGTCTTTCGGCCATTTTTCATAAAAGGTTTATAATTTATTATTCTTAGTGGAAATATATTTTTCAACTTGGTATTTAGTTCTTACTTTAAATTTGAAACCTTCAGTGTTTGGAAGTACCTGTTTCTTTCTGCAATCCCATAAATACATATTTACCAATTAATATCAGATAATTTAACAAGGGGCATTTTGACATCGTTATTCCAATTATAACCTCTCGTAAACACAACCCGTGAAATTCCTTTGTTATCGTTAAATAATATACTGTTCAACATTTTTCCACAACATATTTGAGTGCTGACAGTAAAATAGAAAGTGACATAATGTTTCCTGTTCAGTCTTACAAAAAGTACATTTGTCATGCTGGAGATATCCAATTTTAAAAAGTTTTGCATTAGTGTAAAGTATTGAATTTAAAACTTTATATTGAAAGGATTTGACGTAAGGCTCCTGTGTTGTCAGGTGGGGAAGGTTGTAAGCAATTTTTAAGTCTTCGTCAGATAAGCCAAAATCATGTTTTAAATTCTTTGCATTACTAGGTAATTGTGCTTTATTTGGTATTATTAAAGAGTAGTAGTCGTTCGTTTTCTTTTCCGCTATGTCAAAAATCTCGGTCCCCTTTGTAAAATAAGTATTTTCTGTAAAGGTAGTGTACTCTATTGTTTTCAGAATAGAAGGAATTGCGTGCCTGAGACCTGTCCATGTAAGAAAATTAGCTTTCTCAACTATGTTATTGATTGCATTAAAGGATTCTATATTGTCGAGATTGAACAAGAGATCTTTAATAATACATTTCTCCGAGTCATAATAAGATTTATAAAAGACTGGTTTTCCATCTAGTCTTTCTTGAAACCCTGATTGGTTAAAGCCTTCTTCACTGGGCAGGACGTTTGTTCGCAACCGACAATTATCTTGGGTAGTAGCTTTCAGATCAATCAGAAGATAACCAAAAGGTCTTTTTACAGCCTCTTCGTACTGATTTAAAAAGAAATCCGTCAGCCCGGGATACATTTGCTTCGCCAGAGTCAGGATTTGCAGTTTGTCTCGAGGATTCTTGAATAACACCAGATACTGGCTGTTTTATGAAAGTTAGACTCCTGTTAACGAGCCTTTATGATAACTGTATATGCCAACTGAATAAATCTAACGGTAGTTACACTAAAGTTTAATCAACAAAAGATAAACTGGAGACCGTAACGAAAGAAAAAGAGAGGCAAAGTCGCTTATAGTATAAAGTAGCTGGGATAGGCTAGAGAGATATGTCAGTAAAAACTTCACGGTGCATATTTACTAACTTCTATCTCTAGCAAATCCCAGGCTATAACCGGCATAAACGACTTTGCTTCTATCTTTTAGAACAGTGGCTAGGGGTAGACGGCGATTTTTTTCATGCGGCAGTTTAACTGTACCTGTTTCACAGTGTTCCCCTGTATATCCAGATGCACATACACAAAGGTATCTTTTGTCTGTATATCCAAGAAGAAATTTGGCGTTGTTAAGGCAAGGGTTACTGCAGCAGAGATTCTGATAAAAAAAAACAGTCAAGTATTTAAATCGTTTATGGTGGGAATGGACTAGGTTTCAACAATATAGAATAGAGAGAACCTTTTATCCCTAGAACAGTTCTTGAAAATAGGTTATCTACATCAGGGGTCAATTTAATAAAACTTCTTAAAGTGTAATTTAAAAGTATAGCTATTGTTTTCAGACTCTAAAACAATGGCTACACTTGTAAAAGTTTTATTAAATTGACCCCAGATTTAATAAAAATCATTACACGAAGAACGGTACAATGTCCTCATATTTTTCAAGTTCGCAATCGTACCTCTGCACCTCTGTATGTCCAGCCCTGTCTTGGTTGAAGATCCTTTGGATGATGCCAATGATCAGAGTTGCTTAACTCGCATATCACTTTATCCTCTATTCGCGGGCCAACATTGACGGACACGCACTCGCTCGCCATGACGCACAGATGCTCACACGATGCATATATTCCAATAGAAAGATTTCTGTACACGTGGTCCTTAAAATAATAGCTGTTCATTGGTGGAATGAACTTGAACCGTCGACAGCCACCTAAAAATTCAAGATAGAACATTTGCGCTGTCTACCCCCGTGACTATCGTAGACTACGAATAGTCCCTCATTTTCCTCAGGGATAGTAGATTGAGCATATCAAGAAAAAGTGTGCGTGAAAATAGCCAGCCGCGAAAATTCACTCGCCCTCTGCGTATCCGCGCACAATTCTTAACTGGCTCAAACTAGTTCACCAAACTTTTCTAGTTATATCACAATATCTTCTTGTATCATTAGCTAATGACATCTGAAAAATGTCTAGTGGTCTTTTAAAGTATGTGGAAAAAATTAGCTGCAGAAATTAAATGGTGCAAAAAAAAAATTTAAGAGCTTAAGAAAAGAATTCCATACCATATACACTTAATGTCATAATTTTACTTCACAAATTCTTTGCTTTAGAAATTATTCTTTCATAAAATGAAACGCATAGCTTCTATCTTTCCTTACGATATAAAAATATATCATAGCGTCATATTAAAAAATTGCACTTGTTTACAGTCATCGTGGAAAAAAAGTGTTTTAAATCGTAGCATTTTATAATTGCAATTTAGTATAATTAAAACGCACCGATAATTAAATTTCCATTCTGCTTGCGACAGAACCTCCAGCAGCCTTCAGTGGTAGCGTGTCTGATGTAGTATTCAAATCTCAACAACCGAAGCTCGTAAGATTTTCTGAGTTTCCTCAACTTAGATTCCTTTTTCTTCCAAAATTATATGCTGAAGTCAGAACATGTTGGAGTCTGGAATGCCGTTGGTTTCATCAAGAGCCCATTATGGCTCTTGGCCATGGTTTCATGATTATTAAACGTAATGTGTATATGTAGGCAGCAGAATCTGAACTTAGTTAAAACATAACTTTTATAAGCCGCTTTAAAGCTCATGGTTCATGACAGATTCAAGGTATTGTAAGTTGTCAGTAGTGATTTAAGAACGACTAGTAGTTTATATCATCAACAATACTCTGCACTGAAAGTTCATTATTTAGTATACTGTTGACAGTGAAAATAAACTGGTGGACTTAAACACAGTTTGTAACTAATTATGGCAGAAGATCTGCTAGTAATACCTATTTTTTTCGCCGAGAGAATCGAAAATTTGGGAAAGTCGTTCTTTAAATTTCTGGAACAAAGATTTGAGAAAGTGTTGCTCCTCAATTAAGTGTCTGCAGAACAATGCAGGTGAACCCACAAGGAACCCCGACTCACAACAGCCTCCTTGAAGCCAAGTTATGAAGATTTGTATGGAATTTTGTCTGGAATTGTTTTTTTGTACAGTCGAAATCCGCTTTACGGACACCCACTTAATACGGACACCTCATTATTACGGACAGTTTGCTCTTTCCCTGGGAAAAGCTCTTACATTTTCTCTAAATTCAACCCACTTAATACGGACACCCGTTAATCGGGAGAACGGACACTTGAAAATTTGTTTCTTGCCCAGGCAACAGATTCTCATAGAAAGCCAACCTCACTAAAGCGGACACTTCATTATCAACTGTCGTGCAGTGTATCAACTGTCGTGCAGTGGTCTTTAGTAAAACTAAACAGTGAAAAATGTAAAGAGCTTAGGATTTCATTTGCAAAGAACAAACCACAACTCGCGCCTATAGTAGTAAAATAATCAAGAGCTAGAATGTGTTGAAAGCGCCAAATTACTAGGTGTTACGATCTCCAACAACCTTACATGGAATATGCACATTGATCAAATCATGAAGAAAGCTTCTAAACGTATGTATTTCCTAATACAATTGAAAAGGGCCAATGTCGCAAGGCATGAATTAATTCTTTTTTATACATCTTGTATAAGGTCAGTCATGACCTACGCATCGCCTGCGTTTTTCTACGCCCTGCCATTGCATTTAAAGAAAGATCTAGAGAATGTAGAGAAACGGGCACTATCAATCATTTGCCCGGGACTGGCCTATAGAAAGGCCTTAGACCTTTCAAATATTATGTCTATCAATGACTACATCGCTAGCTTATGTAAAAAGGCCTTCCTCTCGATTGCTAATGACCCGGCCAATCGCTTACATAACATGCTTCAATCGTCAGGGCCGTCGTGTTATAATCGTCGGTGCAAAAGGCGTTTTGCGATTCCCAAATGTAAGAGCGAGCGTTTCAAAAATAGTTTTTTAGTAAGATCATGTATTGATAACGAATTTTAGCACTCGGTGAGTTTTGTAAATGAGATCGATGACGTTGTATATATTTTAACCGGTTTAAGCTTTTTATATTTATAGGATGTTATTATATATTTAGGACTTTATCATTATCATTTTATTATACTCGCTATTGCAAGATTCTGTTATATTATACTATATATTATATTGTAAATACACAATTGAGCTTAGTAGCTGCAAGCTTTTTACAAATAAACTAGTATCTATCTATCTGTCTATCTATCTATCTATCTATCTATCTATCTATCTATCTATCTGTGTTCGGTAATAGATCTTTCCTTTTTTAAGGTAAAATAACCAGTTGACAGCATGTCCATGTTCCCAGCGCTACAGAACACCATGGGGTGAATTGTAGATGTCAATTGCAGACTATTTTGGCAAAAAAACGATCACAGAACACGGTTTTGATAAAGCGATATACACGTGAGTGATTTTTGAGTGGTTCCGTGGATGTAAGCTGCGGAATGACTGCTTTGTGAAGGTGAAAGGTGTTTAATTTGACGATGCTTATGTCTTGTTTTATTAATTTTGTATTTTGTTAAGAAAAGATATTTTTTTGACTTTGATAACTGAAAACGGTTCTCCTTTGAGGGACACCCGCGGCAAATTATTGAAAGATAAGCTGCAAAGATTCCCGAGTTCTTATAGGTGTCAGTTATGATATTGGCTCCGCAGACTTAATGGACTCTCTTTAATGGCAAACACTTGACGATCGACGGCGCTGTACAAAATCAATTTTTGAAGTATAAAATATTAAATGATCACACCGCCCCCGGCCTATGGAACTCTTTTGTGAGAAGGAATGTCGATCAGTATAATTACCACTGATCTGCGTAACACGGCTACTGATCTGAACACTTCCTAAACCGAAAAGAGAGTTTCTAAAAAGAAGTTTTAAATTTAGCGGTGCTATGCTTTGGAACCAGCTCTCGAATGAAGCAAAGTTCGCTGAGTCAATCTCTTCATGTAAAAACCTTGTTAGATCATAGTTGGGTCTTGCCAAGCTGTGTATCTTAATAGTTACCCTTTTATATGATTTTCTGTTATAGCGATAGTAGTAGTTATAGCAATAGTAGTAGTAGTAGTAGTAGTAGTACAGAAAATTTTAGTACTGTTTAGTTTCGTAATTTAATATACGGTGTTAAGATGTGTCAACACGCCCTCCATGGAAACCAGCCAAGTGTTATTGGGGCTAGCGTGTTTCTATTGTAATGTGAATTTTTTAAATAAAGTATTACGTAACCCTTCTATTGAAATAATAAACTCCCATACAAATCCTTATAATTTGGCTTTGCAGAGACTGTTGTGAGCCAGGGCGCCCCTTTGTTTGCCTGATCGTTCATCACAATGTCTAAGCGAACGTAAAACTTTTGTTACTTTGACACCGAACCTTATTTGCGTGACCTAATGTTATAGTCTGCTATCGTCTAAATCAGTCAAAAGGGAGGAGGTGTAAGCAACATTATTCATGCCGAAAATTTTAACAAAAACTTCTTTTAAGCCGCAAAAAACGGTTTTATTTAACAAACCATTATGGTGTCAGAGATAGAACAAATAAAACAAATGTCCAAACAAACAAAACAAACAGAACCAATATAACCCAAAAAGAGGGAAATTATGCAAGAGAGAGGAAGATGATTACCTCTGCACCTCTGTATGTCCAGCCCTGTCTTGGTTGAAGATCCTTTGGATGATGCCAATGATCAGAGTTGCTTAACTCGCATATCACTTTATCCTCTATTCGCGGGCCAACATTGACGGACACGCACTCGCTCGCCATGACGCACAGATGCTCACACGATGCATATATTCCAATAGAAAGATTTCTGTACACGTGGTCCTTCAAATAATAGCTGTTCATTGGTGGAATGAACTTGAACCGTCGACAGCCACCTAAAAATTCAAGATAGAACATTTGCGCTGTCTACCCCCGTGACTATCGTAGACTACGAATAGTCCCTCATTTTCCTCAGGGATAGTAGATTGAGCATATCAAGAAAAAGTGTGCGTGAAAATAGCCAGCCGCGAAAATTCACTCGCCCTCTGCGTATCCGCGCACAATTCTTAACTGGCTCAAACTAGTTCACCAAACTTTTCTAGTTATATCACAATATCTTCTTGTATCATTAGCTAATGACATCTGAAAAATGTCTAGTGGTCTTTTAAAGTATGTGGAAAAAATTAGCTGCAGAAATTAAATGGTGCAAAAAAAAAATTTAAGAGCTTAAGAAAAGAATTCCATACCATATACACTTAATGTCATAATTTTACTTCACAAATTCTTTGCTTTAGAAATTATTCTTTCATAAAATGAAACGCATAGCTTCTATCTTTCCTTACGATATAAAAATATATCATAGCGTCATATTAAAAAATTGCACTTGTTTACAGTCATCGTGGAAAAAAAGTGTTTTAAATCGTAGCATTTTATAATTGCAATTTAGTATAATTAAAACGCACCGATAATTAAATTTCCATTCTGCTTGCGACAGAACCTCCAGCAGCCTTCAGTGGTAGCGTGTCTGATGTAGTATTCAAATCTCAACAACCGAAGCTCGTAAGATTTTCTGAGTTTCCTCAACTTAGATTCCTTTTTCTTCCAAAATTATATGCTGAAGTCAGAACATGTTGGAGTCTGGAATGCCGTTGGTTTCATCAAGAGCCCATTATGGCTCTTGGCCATGGTTTCATGATTATTAAACGTAA